TACATTATTTTTCATAAAACTAATTTTGTGTAAAATCAGAAAATGTCCACAGCTATCAATTAAACAATGAATGAGCCTAGTGAGTCCCATAAAGGGCGAAGGCCTCCTGCAAGAGGGGCAGCTCTTGTAAGACACACGTGGTGAAGTATTCCACGTAGGTGGGAATTAGCACTGAACATGTGCACTTCCTAACAGGCATCTTTCACAATCCTTCCAAACTATTCTACACCTCGCTGCACTTGTCTATTGTGGCCCCACTAGTCTATGGAAATAGTCGGCCTGACTGGTTCTTGGTCTTCCTCGCTACTAATAGAAAGTGGCAAAAAAGCTCGCGGGGAACAAGTCTATGAGGAAAGGAAACAAATAACATACGACAATTCAACACAAGCTGAAGATCCCGATGTTGCCGGAGTGTTCGTTCATGAATTTAAAAAAAATCAATTTTATTTCAGTCCCGGTTGGATCCTGCTCGGCCCGCCTGCGACGTGCAAGAGAAATATACGTCAGCCCCAGGACCATCCACCACGAGCCTTCGTGGGCAGTTCTACATGCCGTCACCAGGACTTCAAACCCTTTTTTCAACTAACGAGCATATGTTGTTCGTCTACGGAGCACGCTTATTCCCCGATGAGGCCTCATGTAGTATGCGTTATAAGCTTTTAGCAAATTCATTTACGAATATGTCGTTTTAGGTATGTGACTTTCATCATACTATGCCCCAAACCTCAGTGGTGGAAAGGTCGTCAATTCAAGAAGTTTTGAAACTTCTCGCCAGATGAGGATTCTCTCCTCCTCCCCCGTAAAAACGTAATAAGGTGAGAAAGTAAAAATGTTTTTATGAGTTGCTACGTTTCTGCATTGGAGCAAATAATTATTAAAAAAAAAGATTTAAACCACGGTTTAAAGCATCCTATATGCCGCAAAATAATACTCGTGTCAAGGGGACACATGTTTCTTTTCCAGTTGAAATACACGTCTTCCCGACAGCGTGAAATACAGATACTCAAAGAATCGTTCCCCATATTTAACGCAGCAGTGAGTAGATTCCTTCTCGAAGTGCTCGATGAAGGATAAAAGTCAAGAGCTGTGGCTGATTTGCTTTTTCAAATAGTTTTTATTACACGGGAGAGAATATGTCTCGTTATCAAATGTTACGAAAAATGCGATTCAAACAAAATCTCACGATTTAAACGAAAACAGTTACTACTGCGAGGCAGTAAACAAATGAATTCTGTTGCCGCAGCACGTTAGTGCGTTGCTGTGTGCTGTTGCTTGTGATGTACCCATGATGAAAAGATCCCTGGTCCATTGCTTTCATCATCGGTGTATCTATTTAACCAATATTCGTATTCTGTAGTTCGAGAAAGATGGACTGTAACTAAAGAAATTGCAGATGTACTGTAGTAAAGAAATTCTACTGTAACTGAAGAAATGTTAGATGCAGCTGCTAAAGCCACAAGGCATTCGACTCAGGAAAATCAAAAGTACGATATGAAGAAACATATCAGGAATTTAAAGCATAGGAATTACAACATCACGTATACGTGATTAGAGAAGATTTGATTTGATTTATTTAGTCAAAAACAGTAGGAACTGTATGTGACGTATGGGGAAGAAAATCAACAGCGCACGTTTTCTTCGGTTCCAGAACCCCTTCCCAACATTTGAACTGTACATACTTGACAGATGAATAAAATTAAAAAAAATTAAAGCCTCAGATTAGCAACCTTTGTAGAAACTACCGTTTCTTTCTACGTTTCGTTCCCGAGATATAGAAAATTTATTTGCATCGGCAAATGAACTCCAGATTTAATTCCTCTGCATTGCAAACAAAATAGCAAATCACCCTAGCTCTTCTCCTACTATTACAAGCAAAAAAGAAGTTCAACAAAACGTGCGCGTAGCGAAGCTACATTTATGTTCAGAAGCAAAACAAGGGGCCGTTTGAGCATTTGCTCAGTGGATCAGGGAAACTGGACGAAACCCTGGTGGAGATGGGGGGTCATTGTCCCGCAAGTACAAGATTTAACGCGTGTTTATTTCAAGGGCCTGGTAAACTAATGAGCGCTTATTCCGTTATAAAAGTCTATCACATTTTCTTATATTTTGTTCCTCTAAGTCACACGCACACGTGGGGTTTTTAATAAATGCTGAGATAAACCATAGGACTAATTGAAAATATGGCCGTCAGTAAATGTGATTACAGAGGAATAGTTTCATTTGGCGGGATGACAGGAAAATGGTTAATTTATCATTTTCCTAATAATACACTTTTGTAATTGTACTATTAATACTATTACAACAACAAAAACTATTCCCCAAACTAATGCGAGTTCCTTCCATTCTGATTTGCTTGAATCTGACTTGTTTGTACAGCACCATTTGTTTGTTAATAAAAGCTGACTAGCGCTGAATCGATGGCCGTTCATTTGCGTTGATAAGTTAAATTTCTTAACATATTGGTAGATGCAGGTGCACTTTCCGACCGTGTGGGGTTGCGTGTGAACAGGGGTTAAAAACGCAAGTGACTGAATAGTAGTAATAGAGTAATGTCTGACCGTCGAAGGGGGGCACGAGAGCGGCCTTGTTGTTGTTGGCGCCGCTGGGCCCCACCACGTCCACGATGGTGTGCATGGCGCCCACGCGCGGCAGCGACACGTGCTGCAGCACCGGCAGGTTGTTCTTCAGCGCGAACCTGCGCACACAGCACGCTTAGCACGCACGCGCACACAAGCGAGGAAGCGCTTAGAATGAAGGCGACTCACTTCTGGCTGGTGTCGCGGCGCTTGCGCAGGAAGCCGCCCTCCGGGAACAGCACCATCCACTTGCGGCGGCGCGGGATGTACGAGTCGTGCAGGTGGCGCACCAGCGCCCGCAGGCTCTCGTCCCGCCGCTCGCGCCCCTGCGCACACACACACCAGCACTCCTCTCCGCACTGCACTGACGTCCCCAAGAGAAGTCAATTGACGCCCACGGGAAGAAATTAAACATCTCCTTCTGGCCCAACAAGGGAAAAATAAAGAAAAGCACCTCTTTGGAACCAAACAGGCCCACTCACGACGCCAGACTCAACGTCTTAGCACGTGCTTCTGTGTATGTCGACGCGCTGCATCGGAATGTGGAGCCACCAACGTCCAGTTTTTTTAATCGCGAAAACAACCACTAAAGTATACAATTTTACGGTGCTTTGGAAGGGGGTGGCGCAACTTTGGCTTCAGATTCCGATGCAGTGCGTAGACATGAATAGAGAAACATGTGCTAAGACTTTGGGTCTGACAACTGAGAGAGGAGAGAGAGCAGGGAGGAGAGAGAGGGGGAGACAGGGAGAGGGGGAGACAGGGAGAGGGGGGACAGGGAGGGAG